AGAATCCACATGAAATCTAGCCCTGCAGTTTCATAGCGTCTGACTTAGTGGCTTTTTGTGGCAAGTTCCGGGAGCATTCAGCGTGCAAGGTTCAGCAAGAATGCGATATTGGAGAGTGAATTTGGGGGTCGACGCGGGGGGGGGGGGCAGAGAAATCAGGACAGGATGAGATGAGACTGGGCAGGACACAATGAGACTGGGCAGGACACAATGGGGGATGGTCAATTGTTTGTTCAGGTCCAAGGACTCAGACTCCAGTGGTCCAAGAAATGGTTGTACTTCCAGTTACCTCTTGAGTTCAATTGTCGACTCCTACAGGACAGGGCAGAAATAAAGAATGCCTCGCTCGGTATCTTATCCTGACAGATGAGTGAGAGAGGAAATGGGCCAGAAGGAAGGGTGAAGGGCTGAATCCCAGCCTGGCTCAAGCATGCTCATACATGCATGTGTTTAGAGCATCCCGGTGTGGAAGGCCGGCCACTCTAGTATATTTGGCCTGTTGTAAGCGGTGTATGTCAGTTCTGAGCTTGGAGTCATTTTTCCTAAGAAGCCACAGGCAAATAAAGGTGAAAAAGAACTAAAGCCAAAATTGGCTGCGAATAATATCTTGAAAAAACAGATGACTAATTTATTATGATTTCAACAGCTGGAGAGCAAGGGCTGGGGGAAGAAACCAATGAAATAATACAAGATGAAGCCCGGAGCATATGCTCTGCACCCCGTTTCATAATCATACTATTCTTCAGATTTGTGGGAGATACCTCATTCAGATATCTGAGTAAAATGGGACAACTTTACATTTCTATGCTGCTTTATAATTGATAAGATTTTGTTTATTTGATTTTACAAACGTGTAAACTAGACAAAGAATTGTGTGCATAAACCATTTCCAACCAACCATGTGAAAACACATCTTATACTGACAAACTTAATTTATAATAGAATAACTCCCTTTCTTATAAGGACTTAGTTGATGATTTTTTAACCCACCATTTAAGAATTGTTCTAGAGTAAGAGTTACTTATATGTGTTTGATTTTAAAATTCAGTTCATTCTGTATCTCTTTAATTTGTAGTTTAAAACTTACGTGTACCTGGGATATCTTACATTTAATATTTTTATTTTGGCTATACTCTGATGCATTTTACCTGTGTTTACACACACACACACACACACACACAGAGCTTTATTTCCTAATTTTCATTATTTAATCTATTGTGATCATCTTTGCCTCTTATTAATAAATATGCTTATTTCTCTTTATATCTTTAATATTTACTTCTGTTTCTTCTTTATACATTTCCTTTCATTTTCAATAAATCATTAAAAAATTCCTTCTCAATTTGCCATGAAGAAATTATTGGATATAATTTTTGGACACAGTTTGCTTTCACACACCACCTTCTGTTTTTTTTTTGGGGGGGGGGGGGTGATCTGGTCGTGGGCCTGAACTCTGGGCCTGGGCACTGCTCCTCAGCTCTTCAGCTCAAGGCTAGTGCTCTACCACTTGAGTCACAGTGCCACTTCCAGCTTTTTCTGCTTATTTGGTGCTGAGGAATCGAACCCAGGGCCTCATGCATGCAAGACAAGCACTCTACCACTGAGCCACCTTCCTAGCCCATACCACCTTCTTATACCAACCTCTTTTACCTCTAAATTGTTTCGCTTGGCCATTTTGGAATTTGAGGCCTCTAGTGTTCTAACAAATTTGTTTCCTTATTTTGTTTCTTAAAAATTATGTCACTCTGGAAATTAGATTTGTGACTTTAGGTCAAAAGTTCTGTCATGTGATTGTTCTACTTTCACAGGCAGCTTAGGGTTCTCTGATAGCACATTATGCAAAGTGTGGGAGGAAAAATAAATGGGACATAATGGGAGATACACAGTTAGAGACTGTACATATCACAAAAATAAAATGATCTAAATAACTATTTTTGTGGGGCTAAAAAGACCCACAAAAATTGCCTAGAAAATTTGTTTTCCCCCAAACTCTGAAACTCTAATATCATCTCCTGTTACTTTTTCCTATCATGGAGGAGCCTGAGGCTAGCTTCATTGTGTTTACACTGTACAGAACTTTATATGATTACTTTTCTACGTTCTCATTTCCTGGAGATTACAGACATTGCCAATAAGGGTTTAACATTTGTGAGATTTGTCCATTTTTTCCTGTTGGAAAGCCAGCCAGTCTACATGTGTGATCTGAAATGTCAATACTTAATTATTAACTGGTATTATTTCATTCTAACCAACCATCATATTTTAGTGAAATTACAGTGATACCCTTTATTGTTTTATGTCACTGAAATAAATGCATATTGGTTCACAAAAGGATGACAATTGTGGAATAAGCTTAAAATGAAGCACAAAGTTGTATTCAAATTCTTATTTCCTGCACCTGCCAAACCAGGTGCAGTGACTCAAGCCTGTAATCCTATCTACCTGGGAGTCAGAGACTGTGAGGATTGAGATAGAGGACAGGTTGGGCAAAAAGTTTGTTTGATTTCAGCTTAACCAGTAAAAAGCTGGGCACTGCGGCGTTCCAGTCTTGCCACTCAAGGGCAGGAAGATTTTGTTCCAGGTTAGCCCAAGGCACAAATGTGAGATCCTAGTTACAAAACAAAAGACAACCAAACTATTAAAGACAAAAGGACTCAGGGCTTGACTCAGGTTGTAGAGCCTGAGCTCAAACCCCACAAATAAGTCTCTATCTCTTTTTCTGTCTCTATCTCTGTCTCCATCTCTATCTGTCTCTATATTAAACCAGTACAATTAAGAGTCAACCATAGAGGAGATGTATAGAGTAAAACTACCGTGTGGAATTCAAGATTATAATAGTTTGAACACTCTGTTTAATTTCTTTTGATACATAGGACAAAGGGGTTAACAGTTTCAATGAACTTTAAAGCTATTAGTTGAGTATGAGTGTAGGCATAGGGTAATTCTGTAGGATTATTGGACTATCCAGACTATGGAATATTATGAGTACAATTTTTAAACCCTGCAGGTTCTGAGCTGGGGATTGTAGATCAGTGGTAGAATGCTTACCTAGCATGCACAAGACCCTTGGTTTGATCCCCAGTACTAGAAAGAGCAGTGTCAATTCTGCACATTTATACCTACAAGTATGAAAACTTCATGGTATATTATCGGCATTACTTTGGAAAAACCACATCACATCAATATGTTTGTGTCTATTGGCATGTGTGCTTCTAAATACATGTAAGATACACACACATATAATTAAGTAGTTGTACAAAGAGGTTACAAAAAATTCCACAAGCCAGATTTTGAGTAGAGTGCACTTTGATCAATGCCACCCTTTTCATTGTTCTCCCCTATTTTACCCCTTCCACCCCTCCCCTCAAATTACATAGATCAATTTGTACACACTGTACATGAATAAAATGATTGCATTTGCTCATCCTTCCTCACACCTTCCATGTTCCCCCATTCATCTTCCCCCTCACTAAACATGTTGCTTCTTTCTGGTATTCATTTTTAATGCAGTTTATTAGCTGTTAGAAGCATCACAACTTTGGGCTCCTCCCCTAAGTGTGCCATCCTTTAGGCAGTTTGTTTGTGTATATATGCACAAAACCCTGTATATGTTACCATATAGGCTTGTATTTTAGACCTAGCTTCCACAGATGAGAGACAATACGGGTCATTTGTCTCTGTGTGCTGGCTTACGTAACATGATTTTTTCTACATTCATCAATTTCACTGCAAATGACATAACATTCTAATAGATAAGTGAAAATCCATTGTATATATGTATCATATTTTCTTAATCCAGTCATCTATTGTAGAGTACCTGGGCTGTTTCCATAACTTGGTTGTGGAAACTTGGTTCACTTGGTATAGCAGTGAACATGGATGTGCAAATGTCTTTACCATGTCCTGATTTGTAATACTTTGGGTAGATGCCCAAGAATGGTATGGCTGATTAGGTTTTTGAGTGAACTCCAAACTGCCTTCCAGAGTGGTTGCATGAGCTGACATTCTCACCAACAGTGCAATAGGGCTCCTTTTCCTACCTTCCCACCAGCACTGGTTATTGTTTATATTCTCAATGCTGGCCAGTCTTACTCGAGTGAGATGGACTCTTAATTCATATATTTAAAAATTAATATTAAAATATTAAGATGTGAGGTACCAATGATTTGGGAATAATGCTAAAAATAGACTTCTAGTAATGGATAATTTTCCTAATTTTTAAAAAATAGTCACTTTATGTATCCCAGACTGTCCAGGAACTCACTAACCTCCTACCTCACTATGCTGAGTGCTGGGATTAAGAATGTGTGTCACTAATCTGACACACATTTTTGTTTTTTGTTTTTTTTTCTTTTTCATTATTATAAGGTTTATTAGAGGGGACATATCTCCCTGGGAGAGGGACCACAGGGTGTCTGCCCCAATCCAGGTGGCAGGCAGGTCTCATTTTTGTTTTAATGTTAAGTATTAATATTTTATTTTCATATGGTTTTGTTTTGGAAAATATATTTACTTGAAAACAACATTATTGACTAAGTATTGTGAAATGCTATGAAAGAGCTAGGATAAGAAATGTCAGTGTTCATGTTCATTGATATTTGCCTTATCCCCATAACAGAAAATAGAGTGCACATAGAAAATGTCCAAAGTATGATCAAAGTTGTTTCCAAAATAAGTAAAGAAGACAATATTGTGAAAACATTTAAATTTCTCTCTGTGGATGCAAAGCACATAACCTTATTTAATGTCATTTTTTAAAAATTATTGGAGAAGATAAAAATCTTACTAAAATAGTCAATATATAGATGCTAAAAATATATTATCCTGTTGCCAGTTGATATTGTTGAGATTGTCACTACTTTTCCCTAACCCATTTCCTATAATGTATAGTAATAAACATGAAAAATATGAAAAAATAACTTCCTCTGGGTAAGTCAGGCATTTATATCAGAAAGAGATACTAAAACATGTCAAAGTGACCAAATATTTTTTGGTTTCAGATATGCAATAATTTGGGGAATTGCCACTGCTTTCCTGGCCATCGGCCTCCAGACTGTGAGCTCCAGATTGGCTCACCAGGGGGCAGTGTCGATGATGGAAATGTGCAGAAATCTGGTCAGTATTGAAAGCAAAATAGAATTTTGTTTTCTGTGGAGCAGAGTAAAGAAATCTAGTTCTAGTCAAATCTAGTCAATCATTCATGCTGTGACTAGTTCAAAGAGTTATTGTGAATAATAGTGCTATTTAAATGATTATACAATATTGGTTATCAGATTTTTCTGAAACATTCAACTGTAATCAATCTAGTAAAATAAGCTAAAATAATATACTGCCTTTAAGTTTCAAGAAATGTCAAGAAGTCTATGTAGAACATATATGTAGAATTGAAAATTATGTATAAAATAATGAAAACTACATGCATTATTTGTACTACACATTATAATAAATTGTAGATTATTAAAAAGAAACTAGCTGGATATTGATATGTCTGTGTTGCTAACTACCCAAGAGGCTGAGATAAGTAGGATCACAGTTCAAAGCCAACCTAGACAGAAGAGTTCTTGAGACTCCATCTTAGAATATCTCACAGAAAGCCAGGCTGGAGGTGACGCTTAAGTGATAGAGTACAAGTCTAGGAATTGTGAGTCCTTGAGCACAAACTCTAGTACTGGGGGGGGGGGGGGGGAATCAACTGTACACTATGAATGACGTTTTCAGAAAAACAAAGTATATTAGGAAAAATAGTAAATAACATTTTGAGTGATGGGGTACATATTGATACTTTCTCCTATGGAGGAAGGCAAGATCACAGCTATTAGTTGATTTAAGGAATGTATATTTTATTTGGCACCCAGAGAAATAACAAAATTGGGTGCTAGTGGCTCATGCCTGTAATCCTAGCTATATGCAAGAGGCTGAGGTCTGAGGATCATGGTTCAAAGCCAGCCCACACAGAAAAGTCTGTTATCTCTTATCTCCAGAAACCTCAGAAAAAGCAAGAAGTGGTGTTGTGGCTCAAGTGATAGAGTGCTAGCCTTGAGCAAAAGAAGCTCAGGGGCAGTGTCCAGACCAAGCTCAAGCCCCAGGACCAGCACACACACACACACACAAAATTGTGATTCCATTTCAAAAAGTCTACATATGCAATAAGATGGAAGAATATGGAAGTTTCATAATGTCAGCCTGAATGAAGTTAGGTTATTTAGAATGCAATGTCCTTGATTAGAAAGTCCTGAAGTAAACAATGGAATGCAAATAAGTTACTTCATAGTATTAGAAATTTGTAAGAAACAATGAAAAAAGGGTGCTTCTCAATTATATATGAAACCTGGGGACAATGGCTGAGGATGGGATCCAGATTCCCATGAAAGAATCAGCATGGGTAGAGCATCAATATCATCAGTTTAATTTTATATAAAGGAGTTAATTATCTGATAGTGAAGATGTCATTGGACATTTGACAAAGGTGTTTGTAAGTTATTAGGTATTGCACGCATTGACAAACCAGAGTGTGTAGTTAATCTGTGTAACAAAGCAGTCCATTGTATAGTAAAAGTGATGTACAGTAAGAGCAACGGCTAGAAGTTCAAGAAGCAACAGTATTTTGGAAGCAAAATCTCTGAGATAATTGCTAATTCTTGAAAAATAAACCCTGAGAAATGGACCTTCATTTCCAGCCATGATAGAATAATAAGAAAAAAAATTGCATGAATATTTGTCAACAAGTAAGAGTATGAGTATTTCAGTATATACTATGTGGGATGTAAACTACATAAGTTGTGGGCAAAGATGGGGGGGCACTGGGGGAAATGAAGGAAAGGGTGACATTGTCCAAAAATAGAAATATACTCATTATCTGATTTATGAAATGATAATCCTTCTGTATACCTTAATAACAATAAAATTATAATTTAAAAACCCAGAGTATAAAAATGTGATCTTTGAGAAATAAATGACAGGTGTGAGACAATGTCCACTGTTATTGTATGTATGTGATGAAAGATTCAGGAGAGAAAGAGGGAGATAATTTACAGAAAAGATTTTTTGTTGTTGTTGTGGGGCTTGAAATCTGGGCCTGGGCGCTGTCCTCAGCTCTTCTGCTCAAGGCGAGAAATCTACCTCTTCAGCCACAGCGTCACTTCCAGTTTTCTTAGTGGTTTATTGGAGAGAAGAGTCTTATGGACATTCTTGTCTGGGCTGGCTTTGAACCGTGATCTTCAGATCTCAGCCTCCTGAGTAGCTAGGATTACAGGCGTGAGCACCAGCACCCCGCAGAAAAGATTTTTTTCTTTAGTTTTTTTTTTTTAAATTGTGAAAATACTTTACAGAGGAGTTAAAATTACCTGGGCAAGATAAGGAGTACATTTCCTATAAAGCATTATAGCCTCCTCCTTTGTTTCCCCTTCCCATCTCTTCCCATCCTCTCCCCAATCCCCACCCAATTCCCCCCCACCAAAGTTGTAAAGTTCGTTTTCAACATAACGACTTGTACATCTCATTGTTGCAATGGGTCCACCTGTATCCCTATTTAAACGATTTGTTTTTTTCCCTTCCCCTCCACAAATTATACCAACATCAAATACAGTGAAAGCAGGGGTTATACCATGGGGGAGGGACATACAAAGCAACAAAGAAATCATCTTATAAATGTGTTAGAAACAATTGCATGAAAGAAAAAAAAACATTTGAATACATATCTTAGGGTTCATTTTCCTAACATCACCTTATCTGACATTTTCTGCTTGATTCATACAAATACTAGTTATTGCAAATAAGGGAAACCATGGGACCTATGTTTCTTTGGGCCTGGCTTACTTCACTTAATATAAATTTTTCCAAGTCTTTCCATTTCCTAACAAATGGGGCAATGTCATTCTTTTTGATGGAGGCATAGAATTCCATTGTGTGTATATATACCACATTTTCTTGATCCATTCATCTACTGAGGGGCATCTGGGTTGGTTCCATATCTTAGTTATGGTAAATAATGCTGCAATAAACATAGTCGTGCTGGTAGCTTTAGTGTGGTCTTGTTTGTGAACATTGGGGTAAATGCCCAAAAGTGGGATTGCTGGGTCATAGGGGAAACTCTGTGTGGAGTCCTTTGAGGAACCTCCATACTGCTTTCCGAAGTGGTTGAACAAGTTTACACTCCCACCAACAATGCAGTAAGGTTCCCTTTTGTCCACATCCCCTTCAGCATCTGTTGTTATTAGAGTTCTTGATTCTAGTCATTCTAACTGGGGTGAGGCGGTATCTCAATGTTGTTTTGATTTGCATTTCTTTTATGGCTAGGGAGGTTGAGCATTTCTTCATGTGTCTATTGGCCATCCTTCTTTCCTCTTCAGAGAAGTTTCTCTTTAAGTCTTTAGCCCACTTGTTTATTGGGCAGTTGTTTCTTTGAAGATTTGTTGTTGAGGGATTTAATTTTTGAGTTCCAGATATATTTTAGATATGAGACCCTTGTCCGTTGTATGGCTAGTGAAGATCTTCTCCCAATCCATGGGCTTTCCATTGATCTTGCTAGCTATGTCCTTTGCCATGCAGAAGCTCTGCAATTTCATGCAATACCATTTGTCCAACCTTTCTTTGATTTCTTGTGTTTCTGGGTCTCTATTAAGAAAATTTTGGCCTGTCCCAAGGAGACCTAGGATTTCTCCTATTCCATCTTGTAATGTTTTCAGAGTGTCTTCTTTGACTCCGAAGTCTTTGATCCATTTGGATTTGATTCTGGTGCAGGGTGATATATAAGGTTCTAGCTTTAGTTTTCTACAACTTTTTTACCAATTTTGCCAGCACCATTTACTGAAGAGGATGTCTTTCTTCCATTCTATTTTTTAGCTCCCTTATCGAGGATTAGATGGCTATAGGTCTGTATGTTCACTTATGGGTTTTCAATTCTATTCCATTGGTCTGTTCTTGTGCCAGTACCAAGCTGTTTTGATTACTATGGCTTTGTAGTAGAGTTTGAAATTTAGAATTGATATTCCTCCAGCACTGTTCTTTCTATTGAGGATCGTTTTTGCTATTCGGGGTCCTTTATTGTTCCATATGAATTTTTGGATTACTTCTTCTATTTCCTTAAAGAATGAAGTTGGAATATTGATAGGTATCGCATTGAATTTGTAGATAGCTTGGGAAGTATTGCCATTTTCACGATGTTGATCTTTCCAATCCAGGAGCATGGGAGGTTTTGCCACTTTCTAAGTTCTGTTTTGATTTCCTTTTTCAAGTTTTTAAAGTTTTCATCATAGAGGTCCTTCACTTCTTTAGTTAATTCCTAGTTATTTTATTTTTTGTGGGGCTATTACGAATGGAGTTGCTTTCTTAATTTCAGCCACACTTTTCTCATTGTTGGCAACAGAAAAGACATTGACTTATAAGGGTTAATTTTATACCCTGCTACTTTGCCAAAGTTTTGAATCAGCTTGAGTAATTTGGGAGTGGAGTCTGTGAGATTCTTTAAATGCAGGATTATGTCATCTGCAAAGAGGGAGAGTTTTACTTCTTTCCCTATTTGGATCCCCTTTATGTTTTCATCTTGTCTTATTGCTGTAGCTAGACATTCTAATACTAGATTGAAGAGAAGTGGAGCGAGTGGACATTCTTGTCTCGTTCCTGAGTTAAGAGGAAATGGCTTTAGTTTTTCACCACTAAGTATAATGCTGGCTGTCGGTTTGTCATATACAGCCTTTATTGTATTGAGGAATGTTCCATGGATTCCTAATTTTTCTAGAACTTCATCATAAAGGGGTGTTGGATCTTGTCAAATGCTTTTTCTGCATCTATTGAGATAACCTTGTGGTTCTTATCCTTGCTCCTGTTGATGTGATGAATTATATTAATTGATTTGCGTATATTGTACCAGCTTTTCATACCTAAAATGAACCCTGTTTCATCGTGGTGTATGATTTTTTTGATAAATTGTTGAAATCGATTGGCCAATATTTTGTTGAGAAGTTTTGCATCAATGTTCATCTCCTTCTTTGATGAGTCCCTGCCTGGTTTTGGGATGAGGGTAATGATGGTTTCTTAGAATGAGTTTGGTAATGAACTTTCTCTTTCAATTTCATTGAGTTGGAGGAGTATTGGTGTGAACTCTGCTTTGAAGGCCT